CTGACAATCAAGTAAGGTTTCTAGCCCAAACTGTTTCTCAAAGCTCAAACTATTTTGTCGATTTGGGTTTTTCAACGGTTTTTATATAGAGGTAGGTATATTAGACCAGAAGCCTTACAATAAAGCCATCAGACGAATTTTGTGCTTTAATTACAAAAGTATACTTTAATAATAATATCATGTTAAAATAAATACTTTTTAATTTTTGTCAATTTTTGGCTAGCATCATAACTATGCATGCTCTATAAACTTGTTTTTTAAAAAATAAATAATAAATTTTATTTTTTTAGATTTGATAATTTTGGTTAATATTTAATTTTAAAAATCCAAATTGGTTACCGATCACTTGCTAACTCAAAAGAGTATAAAATATATCTGATTTATTAAACAATTAGAAATGTGTTTCTTTTTTCCAAAATTTTTACGCATCTTTTAATTTGTATTTGGCGAAAACCTACTTTGTACAAAAATGGGTTTTAAAAATTTTAAATAAACAATTAATTATTGTTACCAATCACTTGAGTATGGTTTTGTCTACATGACAATTTTTTCATTATAAATATAACTATAATTTGCAAAGACATCAGAATAAAATTTTCTTAATTTGATAATAACTATCATAATAACTTTATCATAATCATATCACATATATTTACTACCTTTTTTAAAAATGAATAATACTGTTTATGAAATTGTTTCTTCTAATCATGGTCAAGTCAAAATTAATATTCATGGTTTTATTATGTGCAAAAATAAAAATTGTGACAATTCTTATTACTGGTGTTGTGAAAAACGTGATGCATTACAATGTAAAGGCCGAGCAGTTACCATGTTGGTTGAAGAACAACATCATCTCCAAAAAGTTACAGATCATAATCATGCTGCAGAGGCAAGCCGAGTCAATGTTATAAGAACTGTTAATACTTTAAAAGAGAGAGGTAAAGAAACTAATGAACCACCTGCACAAATTATTCAAACCACAACTGCTAGTATCACTCACGAAGCACATCCATACCTTCCATCTCATGATGCAATTCGTCAAACAATTAATCGAATTAGGAACTCTGATCTTCCTGTAGAACCAGAATCTTTAAATGAACTTATTGTTCCTGAAGATTTGACAAAGACTCTAAATGGATCAGACTTTTTGGTTAAAGATATTGTCCTGGATCAAGATAGAATATTGCTCTTTACAACCATTGCTAATGTCCAATATCTGGAACAATCCCCTTTCTGGATTATGGATGGAACATTTAAAACAGTTCCAAATATATTTAGACAGTTATATTCAATTCATGGACATGTTTGTAGAGATGAAAATTCAAAAATAATGCCACTTATCTATGATTAATGTTCAGAAAATCGGAAGAATGTTATAGGAATTTGTTTCAGAGATTGGTTGGTTTTGGTGATGAAAATGGTGTTCTTCTCCAGCCACAATTTATTTTAACTGATTTCGAACAAGCAGCCATCAATGCTGCTCGTAGGGAATTTCAAGGTGTCCAAAACAAGGGATGTTTATTTCATTTGGCTCAGAGCATTTACTGGAAAGTACAAGCTTCTGGACTTAGTGTTCAATATGGGACTGACGAAAATTTCAGTTTAAAAATTAGACACATTCCTGCACTTGTTTTCTTGCCTCCTGACAACATTCCTGCAGCATTTGATCAATTAAAGGATGATATTCCTCCAGAGCTAACGAAATTGTAGAATGGTTTGAAGAGTACTATGTGCATGGTAGAACAAGATGCACATTAGACATGGGAATGCAATTTGAGCACCCCCATTATTTCCATCTGACTTCTGGTCAATCGTTGATAATATCGATTATGCATTTCCACGAACTCAAAATTTTGTAGAGGCTTGGCATCGAAGATGGGGTGCCTTAGTAGGTACTGCACATTTAGGTGTTTACAAAATCATAAAGGAATTCCAAAAAGAACAAAATCGAGTTGAGCTTGATGTAGAATCAATTTTACAAGGAATACCACGACCTTTACAAAAAAAATGGGACCGTGAACATGAAGCACGAATTTGGACAGTGTTCAATGACCATGATAATAGACCACTTATGGACTTTCATCAGGGAATAGCATTTCATTTTAGTATTGCTACTCTATTAAATACATTAATTGTAATTTTTTTTTTTAAAAAATAAAAGACATTATTATTAATTATTCGTATGAATTATTTTTGTATTTGTCATACACAGTGAGTCTCGATTTAACGGATATTTTTTTCCAGAAAATTTATCCATTAAATCGAGAGATCCGCTAAATCGAAACTTATGATCAAATCATGTGATACAAATTAAATGTGTACAAAAAAAAAATTTTTATTTTGTATATACATAAAAAACAGAATATAACATAATAATAATAATAATATCATTGTCAACCCATAAATTCATCAATGCAACATTATTTTGCTTCTTGGGTGCTTCTATAAGAAATTTTCTCTTTTCAACTTCAATATATTTATATATTTTTAATTATTTGAGGATCAACTTCTAAATATTTTTGTTGTATATATTTAAGCGCA